CCCCAAAACCCCAAAACCCCAAAACCCCAAAACCCCAGATCCTTAATAATCTTACTAGGCTTCAAAATTTAAATAAAAATGGATGACCAACAAGAAGCTTTAAAGGAAAAATTTCTCGATGGTGACAAAATGGATGTGTTCACGCTTGAAACCAATGTTCGGAAAATGGTAAGCTGCTCTATTATCCTAGATTCGGGATCTCATTCAGCCAGTTTTGACCAGAGCCCACCAAGATAGAACAGACATGGAGATTCTCAAAGGAAAAATTGAAGAGTTTGATACAAAATACCAGGAAATCTACAGAGTGGTTTTTAATAGACCTAAGGAGAAATCTAAAAACAAATAAAGATGTATTTGAAGAGATTTATGATAAAATTAGTCAAACCCAAGCTGAAATAGTACAAATGAAGGAACTTCAGGCCTTCGAGACCAATGCTAGGCAAGAAAGCCTTACTGAGAGTAACGAAAGGGTTAAATAAGCTGATAAAAGCCGGAGATGATCTTAGAGACAAACATCTCCTGATGCTCAATGATTTTCACGATATTGAGCAGCACATCAAAGATGTCCAGACACAGCTCAATTCAGGTATTTCCATATATAATCTATAGACATAAAAACCTCTACTAACAAACTGATTGATTTGGTAGGAGCTCTAGATCTTAAGCAGAACAAAACAGAAGCTTTATGTTTAAAAGACAGTACAAGGATCGGACATCATGACATCACAATAGACAAATTAAGTGAAGATTACGATAATTTATATCAAAAATCCCTTCAAAAATGGGCTGTAAGATCGAAACTAATCCACAGGAATATTCTGAAAAGGAAGAGCTCTACCAACAAAAGGAGGAATTTGAGGATTTTAAGGAGAAAATACAAAGTATGCGCCATTTCTTCACTATTTTAGAGGAGCTTCAGCATAGCAAGAAAGAGCATGAGGAGATCGTCAACAGGTATAATCATTTTATAAGGCTTAGAATAATGACTATCGAGAACTACACTGATAAATATATCCCTATAAACACTCAGAACACTATATGAGAGGCTTTCAAAACTGTAATGCCACCTAAATTCACCCCAAAATTGAAAGAATATGAAGAAAAAGTCATCAAATCTACACACAGGGTGATCCTTCACGATCAAGGAGTAGGCGACCTACTTCAGAAGAAAGAAGGAATGGCTGCTCGGATAGCAAGGATATCTAGCCCACAGCTTTCGAGAAAGGCAACCAGAAGATTCAAGAAGGCTCACAGAATGAAGACGAGCATGAGAGAGGGCAAAATGAAAAAGCAAGATTTGCTAACCCAATACTCCTCCCTTGTTCAACACCCCAGAAGTAGGATAATAAACTGACTTTAGAAAATGATGATAATGATTTGGGAATGAATCTGGTTCCTTGTAATCCTTATGATAGGGAAGCAAATGAAACCAAGAAATGTAAGATCTTCTTATTCAAACCTAAATCCATACATTATGAACTTTATGGAAATTAAATCAGATTTAGCTAACTCACCTTCAAGAGAAACCAAAGGCTCCAAAGAAAGAAGTACTTTACATGCATTATTCTCTAGGTAGCTCAAATGAAGTGTCACATGAAAGATATAATTCTGACTCAAGTAACTCAGAAGAATTCCAAAACCTGTCTGAAAAGGTATCTGTGCTTACTGAGAAAGTCAGAACCCTTGAAAATAAGCTCTACTTAATTCCCAATTTTGAACCGGAAGATGCAAAGGCAAAATTTGAAGAAATACAGAAGTGGCAAAAGAGAATGGAGGAATATGTATATCAGCTTCATTCTGATATTGAGGAGATTCAAAATCTGAACAAACAATTTAAACTTGATTTATATGAAAAGTTCAGGTCTCAAAGAAAGATTACAGGAGAGCTAGACAAGAAAGTCACAGGTTTATACTCTCAGAAACATAATAAATCGATTTTCTCTTCCTATGGCAAGCGGATGAAAGAGATCAGACTTCAGTCTATTGGTTAAGTATGAATATATCTGCTAATATGGATAGTGTCATATTTCAATCCAAACAGATATTTTCGGGGTTTTGGGGTTTTGGGGTTTTGGGGTTTTGGGG